CCGAGGGGATTTGCACAGTGGTAGCTAATGCCTCTAGAAAACTATCCAACATTAAATCGATTCACGAAATTGCGTAAGAGCTTCAGGCTGAAGCAGTTACGGTAGGCCTCCTTGAGCCTGACGACGGTGACAGATGACGTCATATTCTGAAGACGGTGAGGGCAGTGAAGGAGGGCCTGCGTGTACTTATAGAGGGACATTTAGGGAATACTCTGCTGAGGAACTTCCGTCAACGACGGCAATCTCTGCGAAGAAAAAAGGGCCGAAGTGCGACATGGCAAAATGTTTTTTTGGCCTCCCCTGTATATGTGACAGCAAAAAATATAATCCTGAGGGGGATTGTCTCATTCCCCTGCAAGGTTTGCTACACCCTAACCATCTGCCTAAAATTTTGCGATTTATAATTTATACATACGCATTTCTTCATTAAATGCGTGAGATTTTCCCTAAAGTCTACCTATTGAGAAATAGTCTCGTTGTTCCTGTTTTTCATGATTTATTGTCCGATTTTTTAGAAGGCGCGAGTTACAGTCATGTAAAAGTTCACAACTTCCTCCGTATTCGACTTTTTGCAGCTCCAAGTGTATTTAGTAACTAGATGATCAGGAAACACTGATGCTTCTTCAAAAGGCCACTCTCTCCGAAAATAATTCTGTTGCTCCGTTTTTCAACTCTATGGCTTTTCAAGACATTCACCTTGGAACGCGAGCCAACGTTTGAACGCCCGTACATAATAGTCTCCACGTTATCCCTTGTTGGAACCTTAGCATGATTGGTCAAATTGTTTAGTTCTTCTGTGCCACACGAGGTTGATAAATGGAACCTTTTTGACGAGAAGGTCGAAATGTCGGACCACTTAATAAAAATTCCATTTATCAACCTCGTGTGGCACAGAAGAACTAAATAATTTGCCCGCACATAAGTTCCTTCGAAATTGACATCAAAAGAGGCTAAAAATCGTTGAAATTAAGGAGACGTGTGCTTCATAGCATACACTAGATTACCCTAAAATATTTCGGAAGGAAAACCTTTCTTTGCCAGAATTTTCAATTGAGCCTCTAGAAGTCAATCCGCCGAATTTGCTGCACTCTCTACCCCTTGATTGGGACTGAAAGCACCGGGGATCCTCTGGACGGATTTCTTTGTTCGTGCTCACCGGAATATGAAGCGTTCCAACAGGATCTCCTGCTCTGGGATGCGCAATTCAACTGTCTGTGTTCACCAATCGCAGTGTCACTTAAGGTTCTCCCTTTGCCACTTTGCGATGAATTTTTACCTTCAAACTTTGTGACTGGTACTTGAGCATTGACCCACCCCCTTTCATTAGCCAAATACGACCCCCCCGTTGGTCTTTGTGCAACGGGTGGTTGACTCTGCTTGCACTTCCAGTGTGGCATGGACACGTATTTACCAAGCGATCTCGCTGAGCTTCTGGTGCATTTCGCAGTGCGTTTCATAACTATAAGCCCCTAAAATTTTGCATTCTCGAAACAAGCAGCAGATGGTAATTTTTCCCTATCATTTGGTGATAGCGGAAAAATTACATCCGGAAATGCACACAGTGACCTTATCACTATGAAACGCACTGGATTGTCCTTCCTGTCACTGCTTTTCTCGGTTTTCCTTGTCTTTTGACTTAGCAACCCGTAGCTATCGAAAACGCGAAATATGATGACGAAAACGGTCAGACCCTGTGCGTAGATGAACGGTGCGCAGCCACATCGGCGACGTTTCGTGATTAGTGTCAAGATATTCGGGATTAATGTATTCGGTCGATTCTAGTGTTTTTTTTTTCGAGATCCGTTCGAGAAGTTCGCGGTTTCCTAGAAGGAGAATGAAAATCATGTTGAGGAATTGGTCGACTGAAGCTCATAACCGAGGTCATGGTATTACCCTTCCCTCCAATTCTGCACAACTCCCTGCAGTTAATGATATTAGCAGAGTCAATCGTTAGTTGTTCCGTTTCTAGAAAACTACATCCCACACCCGACCCACCATTAAGTGGTTTCGGTCAGGGTCAAGCGTTCTTCGAGCAATCCTCGTCAGGTCCGCAGGGGGGGGGGTGGTTCGTATTTAGCTCGCTGGGAGGAAGAGGCGGGCCAGGTCTGTGCAGTAGAATCATCATTGTCGAAAAACTCCAAGAAACACAAAGATCAAAACAGCAGTTAACAAACAAAACAAGACAAAGATCAAGTGTTTGCCACAGAACGCTACAGAGCTATAATGCCAATATTTTTGATGACTAGTTCAGCGGTTTTTACTCCTTGTATTAGTAGGTTTATTGTTTATGTATTTCTTCAAATTATTCTATATTCAACAAACTTTATTATAGGGGTGGACTCACGAGAGGTAAGCAAACCAGCCCTTTTGGCGTTTCGGCTGGGACCGTATGCTGAATGTTGGGGAGGGGATGGGGTCCCCAACGGTCGACGGTTTACTTCAACTCGGTTGGTACGATAGGAGAGTACTGACGCAAGTGGTGCAGCTGGTCCAGCAGCTCCGCCAGAAGGGCTGGTTTGCTCACCCCAGGACTAAGCCTTGGAGAGGGGACGGACCCGTCCTCTCTTTAAGGCTTAGTTCTGAGGTAAGCACCAAATTGTGGCGGTTCTAAGGACCGAGTTGAAGTGGTCCGTCCACCGTCGGGGACTCCATCCCCTCCCCAACATTCAGCATACGGTCCCAGCCGAAGCGCCAAAAGGGCTGGTTTGCTTACGTCGACTCACGAACAGCTAGGATGTTTTTTAGGCGAGAGGTTCTCAGGGAGGATCAAACAACTTTTTCATACTTCGACTTGTGAAGAAGTCGTTTCTTGGAATTATGCCGTCTGAGGCCAGGGAAGAGGTGGGAAGGGGGATTGCATTTCAAAATTTTCTTGACACCCCGCTTGTCCATGTTTCATTCACGTGTTCATTAATTGCACTACGCGCTGACATTCAATGTGGCATGTTGTGCAATGACCCGATCTTGCTGTTCTGAATGGACGCGGGGAGGTGATGGCGAGCCCAAGAGGACAAACATAGTTATCTCTGTGGCCATGCATCTTCCCTCACTCAAAACGATGAATTTGTAGGACCTAACCCCCCATATATGCACGTACAACACAGAAAGCTGCAATTGTTTGAAATATTTCTGCTTAATTACTTCCCTAGCCTAATCTTGACCCATTTTGAAGCACCAAAGACGGTTATGGATTGAGATGCTGTCACTGGATATCAAACCATTGGTGCTTCTTCCGCTTGCTTCTTTATTCAAGACAACTGCAATTATTGAACTGGGTTCACAAACTTTACAATGTACATGTTTGTGGAGAATCGAGTGGGGCCACTTGAGCTCCCCTTGCATTCGCTCCAGTAATCAAAGCCTGAAAAAATTTCTCGCGACTCAAATTGTTACTACAGGTGAAACACAGCTAAATCCGGGAATGAGATCCCGCTGAAGTATTGCAGAGAGTTGTTGTCGTCACTGAATTCTGACAATAAGTGGTAGTAAGACTAGTGCTTGAAGAGGGATTCCACGTTAAGATCCGAAGGTCAAGGAGAGTAAACTCGCTCATTGGAAGGACAGGCAGAGTCTGACGGTGAACACTGACACGCAATTCGCAGCGAAGACTGTGCCCTGGCGATCTAGCATGGTCATCACAACGCAGTTATATCGAGGCGGCGCCTACCGGTCGGCTAGCCACTCTCCGCAGTACTCCTGCCGTTTAGCGAAGGGAGCGTTAACGCTGAAAGGAACAGCTCGGATGAGAGCGGCATCGGTGCAAAAAGCAACGGGGAATAGAAGGGTTCATTTCCGGGTTCTGTGCCGTTTCTCATGAGGTTCATCCCGGTACCGCACTCTCTATAACTTAGTGCTAGTGGGCTGATTTCTAATCGTAAACTTCGCCTTCGAAGGAAATTCAAGGAATATTCGCGGGAAATTCTTGCATTCTTTCTCAACGTGAATGTACCAGTTGTGATCACTGGAAGCAGCACACAAAGTTTAGGAGATTCGGTTTCTGAAGAGAAACACAGCTTACAAAAAAAACTACACTCTATGGACAATCGAAGGTAATTCGGCGGAGCCAAAGGCGAGGCATAGAAAAAGGCCTTTGGCCGGCTACGTATCAGGCGACGCAATGAAAGAATCGGGTTAAAGCGCGCGATTTCGGAGAGTAGAGACAAATCGATCGATAGAATAGGATGGAGTAGAAGTGTAAGATGTGAATGCAACGAAAGACAGAATTTTAGTGAGAACTCCAGAAAACCAGGTGGAAGCATTCCCGTCGCCACCATTTGTGACAGATGTGCGGATGTACTTCAAACGCGTAACAGCCCATCCGGTTTTTCGAATTTTTTTTACCTAGACAAATGTTTTCTGTTCTTTTCACTGTTATCATGGATGATGAGTCTCAAGCCAGTGATTTGGCCGAAATAGATTAAATAGATTAGATTTAAAATTTAGATGAGATAGATCATGATTTTTCCGTGAAGAATTCCTTCAAGGAAATAGAGATGCTGTAATAGTGTGCATGTAGAAGAGCTCCTACATGACCATGAGCTACCTAACCGTTGATAGCACTCCTGAGACAAGGATCCGCGCGTGGGTAATCTTTAAAAACGTTCTATTGTGATTTTCCGTTTTTACTACTGCAGCTTTGCTTGTTCTAGTTTTTTATCCAAAACTCTTGGTTATCAATAAGTTTCGTCGCAATACGAATCGTTGTTGTTGTTACAAACTGTCGTTTCTTTGGTTTTGTAGGCTCTCGCCTACGTGAATTTCTACACCCAATAAATGATAAAATAATAAAATACGACAGTCCCAGTTCCAATAAGCTTTATTTCGAGATGCTCAGTAGGGCGTGAAAATTGTGCCCATTTTTCTGCAGAAGAGGAGTATTTTTGGGTGGCCACGCGTTCAATAGTGCTTGTCATTTCGAAAAATTTCGTGCGGGTGTCTTCTGAGAACGCCACTTCTCGAATGTGAAAAACGAATACATTTTCCATTCTTCAGTTCAATCGATGCGTTTCCAAGGAATACTCATTATTTTCTTGGGATTGTTCGCTGGAGCGTTTGGATTGTTTCAATCGTCCATAAGGGTAGGTCCTGTTTGACTTCAAGTCAACGTTGTCTGATACTCGACCGCAGTGAGTGAATGAAAGTATAAACGACGTAATCACTGATGCTTCAGGGAATCGCTACTGTAGACGCCAGCACAGGTCAAATCATTTGGGTTCCGGTGCCAGACGACGACTATTGGAGTTCAAGGGTTATGAAAAGGATGTGAGCAGTTTTCCTTCTCTATGAAAATTCGACCCACTTTGAGAAAGTCCAAACGAGGAAAGACCCAGCTTTTCTTATTCCCTAGATGCGCAGTCAATTTCAATTGAGTGTTTTGTTCTTCCGATGACTACCACCGTCATTTCTTTCTATTTCATTTCCTTTTACATTGCTCGAGACTTGCTATCACATTTATTGTTTCAACACGCTTTCCGGCCCTTCTACTGTTTTTGCACGATAAACTGAGTCCAGGTTTGTTTAACACAGAGAAGCTCCAAAAGTTTTATTCCAAAAGAATTCCAAAAGTTCACAAAAGTCCAAATACTCCAAAAACGAGCCAAAAAATCTAAAAGAATTCCTTTGGAAACTTCCGCGATATTTCGGTGTATAACACCTTCTTCAGGCCTGAAATACATTGATTATAACTTGTATAATTAGTTTTAGTGGTTTCCCGAATCTTTCCGAATTTTCCGAATTCGGGAAAGCACTAAAAATAATTATACAATTATAATCAATGTATTTCAGGCCTGAAGAAAATGTTATAAACCAAAATTATAAAAATCTTTATTTCTATCGCTGAAGTTTCCAAAGGAATTCTTTTAAATTTTGGCAATTTTTTGGCTTGTTTTTTGGAGTATTTGGACTTTTGTGAACTTTTGGAATTCTTTTGGAATAAAACTTTTGGAGCTTCTCTGTGTTAAACAAATTTAGGTCCTGATGAGGCACCGGGAACAGCACAATACTGAGAGAATAAGTCCCGGTTGTCGTCATCGCTTTGTAGTTTTCCAATTCCGTCTACTTGCGTCCTGAAGGTGACACACTTTCATCGCATCCCAGTTAATCGCTCACCAGGAAGGGGAATCCGCTCATAGTGCATTTCGCACCTTGGAACTCTTCTATCAAAGGCAGTGATTGCAAACTTCCTTGGGGTTCGGAGGAGACGTGGTTTGTGCATTGGCAAAAAAGCAGTGAATTCGTCAAGAAATTGTAAAGGGCGATCCACCTGTGTGGTCGTTGCTTTTCGCTCACGAACGGGCAGCGATAAAGAACGGACGTATGGACGAGTTTACCGCAACGCGTTTGGTGGCACCATGCCAATCCATGCTCCAGTCGAGTTGCTCCAGTTGTGCCGCTGCTGGCAACACAGCTCGTCCAAATCACCAACTAAACTAGTGGGCGGATCGCTTTTGGGGCGGAGCGCTTTCGAAGTCCTGCTCAGCAACCAGCGCACCTTGTCGTGAAAGCGCCTACACCTCGCTTCCTTGGCAGCCAAGCTACTGCTTCGTGTGGTGCATTGCTTCCACGATGTTCTTCCTCTTTATCGTAATAGTTTGCTTTACCCACATTTTGACTGTTCCGTACGACTGAGAACTGTTAAGAGGGACTGGCGAATGCTGCTAAACGCAAAAATACTGATTAAGTGTCTAGTATTATAGTATCTTCCTTGGGACGGATTTAGTTTTTCTTTTTGCTAGTACATGCGATTAGGGAGCGCTGGGCAAGATGCGCTCCGTGTGCAGCTTGAGCTTCACCATAGGACCCGGTGTTCCTGCTAGCCGTCGATACCTTTTCCTCGTCCCCAAGTTAAGAGCTGACCTACTGCACGTCCCCTTTCTATTTAAGCTGGGAAAGGGAGAGCAAAAGAGTGACTACACAAGGTTGGTGGATTTAAAGTTAGTTTATTTATGTGGGAGCAAATAAAGACGTATTGATCTACCATAAAGCCTTTCCAGAGTTCTATAAGGCACACATTTTCTATTGTAACCACATTAGCTTGGTAACGGGATATGGGAATTCGCTTGAACGGAATCCACCAGAGTGGGTGGGTAGATCACGAGGGTACCCAGTGAGCCATTAGGAGACGATATATCGTTTCTATTGTATATTCTGGACTTTTTCACTATTTTGAATTTTCAGATGCGTGTTTTGCCGAGGCCATGACAGGATCTAGAGCAATTCATCGAAGAACCGATCAACATCAATGAACTAATGTTTATGGGGCGCAATAAACGTTTGTTGCATGAATTGTGAATTGTAATGCCGATGTCCTACCTGTATTTAGATTCATATACATAAATGGGCGGAAACGGTGCGAGCTATTCTGGGTCGTGAGTCGCCCGGGCCAACCAAGCCTTCCATCCCTCCGGGGTCGGTTAATTGGTACCAGACTTGTCTGGGAGGATAAAAACACTGACTTGTACATCGGCTGGCCCCCGCAAGTCATTGTATAGGCCACATCGCATTCAAACGCCACTACGAATGTACAAATGGAAGTAGAATGCGTGCCAAAAAGGGATTGATCAACGGCAAATGCTTTATCCTTTCATTTTATTATACGGAATCCAAAGCAGCGCCAACATTTCAATCCATTACCACCCCTTTGAAGACACCTCTTCTTACGTCCCTCTACTATACATAGTTCTTCCAGAGTCATAGAGCTGAAGATACTGACAAAGTTTTACAATACGAAAGGTGTTAACTATACTGCAACCTCAGGTGAAGTCATGCCATGCTATGTTCCTCGGTTGGAATAGAGTAGCACACGATATAACGGATGTGCCGGCGGCTCGAAAGTGTGCGACAATGACGCTAAAGCCGTAGAAAGTGATCTGATGCCAAGTAATGTGAACCTATGGACGAATATCCTTGCACATCCCATGAATGTGGGTTACGGCGTAGCGGCTAATTCAAAAACGCACGAAGTTAGTGGAGCCGCAATTCGCACAACTCGTCTCACCCGCCCCTTCTTCAATGTAAGGGTGAAAAGAGTCAATACCTGTTTATGGCCCCATCAGCAGTTAATTTTGGTTTTTTATGTCGGCCAGTTCTGCATCCAGAATTTCATTATCAACCGCTGTTACCCTATCAGCTTGATCTGGAGCTTCAATCGAAATTATGGCGCGCTGGACGATGAAGCAGGCTATGCTTGCTAACCGCGAGGGAGAGGGAAGCATAAGCCCGCTGCGCTCTGAACGAGTTTATGTTACCATCTTACTCTTACTGTGGCTTTGAGTACCAGCGGTGACATTGTCTGTCGTACCTTCCAAATTGGCGCGCTTTTTTACAATCGCTAAAAGTACATTTCTGAAGAACCGTAAATTTCCACACTTACATGAAACAGAAGGCGATAAAAATGACAATTGATCACTATCTTTCATAATGTGTGGTCCTATTCTCAATTCTCGTCTATGAATTGAGGAAGAATTTCGTGCTAGTTTTTGCTCTTTGAAGACATCAACTTCCTACTATATTTCGATATATTGCCGAGAACTTGAAAAGGAATAGCAGACAGATCTTACTAATAATGAAACTCATACAAAACCTCTTGGTTCACGAGATATCTGCGCCGATGGAATGCCGAGAAAAATTCCGATCCACCGAAAAGTTTTCCTCTAAGTTATTTCCAGGAACTTCTTTAGGGAGCATCGAAATGCTTCCACAAATTCTCACTTCAACAGCATGAACACTTTGTTCTTTGGAACGAAGAAGAGCAATCCGAATTTTTTCAAACAGAGCGTGGCTCTCTCGAGAGGATCGCTCTTCATGTTGCTTCGATCGTGGGAATAACGTAGAAGACTTATCCCTTTTCGGATTTCAAATATTAGGTCGGTCCATAAGTCTTGCAACAAACTGGCCGAATTTTGAATTTAATATTTTCATTATCTTTTTGTTCCATTCATCCGGCATGCTACCCTCCATCAATATCTACAACCTATTGCCAACACACTAGTAGCTGCTCGATGCCTCCCTTGTAGGACTCTACTGAATTCTGATCGAAGAAGATCAGATGTCGATTTTGACATCATCATAGTTAGGATGAGCTTTCTTCTTTAGTTGGTGGTTCGGAGAGGGGAGCAGAAGGGCATTATTTGCCTCGAGGTCAGGGCTATAACCTGAATACGGAAGAACGTCCCAAATCTCGAATCTTCCTGAATTCCGCAAGAGTTTTTCAAAGTGCAACAGCCATTTTCCTTGAATTACTTAGCGGTGGACTGGCGAATCTACACGGAGCCAGGGTTCGGGCATAACTCCCCCTGTGTTCCCCCAAAGATCCAGTAATGGCCCACATGGACAGGTTAACCTACCAGAGCCCTTCCTAAACGTTTGAGGACTACGCCGCTGTTCAATGTTATAAACTGTACCCATACTCATTCGGCAAATTCGATGGATGGTCAATCTATAACCTATAAATCGTACTTGAAATACGGGTTCGCTCGTGTATGAGCGAATCGGGTCAGGCAGGTGGCCAACTACTATATGATCTTCACAATCTGATGCCACAGTGCTGCCTCCTTGTCGCATCGGAATCGCTCTAGCAAATGATCGATACTCTATCCAGATCCCTTTTCAACGCCGTCAGATATAGCATCGTGATTGTCAGTCACAGGGTGGGTGGAGTGTGGGTTATTTCAAATAAAAAAGTCACGCTAATAAGTGAAGCCCGTTGCACTGTTGTTGAAGGACTTAGCTTAGCACTCTGGCCAATAAATTGCAATGTCACTGACAAATCTTTTCGAATTAGGTGTTCCCTTCACAAATTCGATCTTAATATATATCATATGGCACTACCGAGCAAGCGATTGCCTACATGACATCATCATGCTCAATTCAGTGCCTCGCTCATCATGCCACCCTCAGTTGACTCTACAGAACAATTTTACCAGAACATAATAAAACTGTTGGAAGATAGCTCACGTACTGTTATAGCTAATCTTGGCTTCCTTTAGAGCCTCCTCCCGCCGCATTAAACACTGCTATATATTTAGAACCAAACAGGTGAGAACTTCAGAGGCATGAGATGCAAACATGACAAATATGGAAACGGTTAAGCCCTAGGAAAGTTAATGTACTAAGGAATCATGTCTCGTCTTCGAATCTCCCGGCGAGTATTTTGTCCATCGCATTTGTCAACTTCATCAAAAAACGAATTTACTGAAGAGCTCGCTCTGTTAACCACAGAACACCTGTTTCCTCGTGCTTCAACCTTGAAGAGTTAGGCATGCCTCGCTGGAGAGCTTAAGCTTACCCGAGGAAGGACTCTACATATTTACCAATGGTTCGCACAACGCAACCAAGGTTATAAATAATAAAAGGTAAATGGGGATGAGGAGCTTGAGGATTCAGAAAAAATGTAGTTACAGTCCGTTACGGTGAAATTCTCTCAATTTTTTTTACGAAACCCTCATATTGAAAGCATGTCCTTGGATATTGTTTTAACAGGCTAATGTGGCCTTCCATTAAGGTTGGATGCTTTATAAATGAGCCCTTCGTCACTTGTAAGTCGAATTCAGCTTTCGATTGATTTGGCACCGTCACTCACTAAAAATGCATTCGTACATCCTTTTTCTGGTATGTTTCACTATAGTTTAAAGTAAAACGCTAATCACGAGAGTGATTTGTCACTAACACCGTTAAAATCATATGCTTTTAAACTCATGATGATAAGAAAAAAAGGTCGCTGAATGGTAATTTGGGAAGTCGTAAGTAAGAATGAGCATGCTAACCTAATTACTCGCTGAGAACTCACCTGACTGTGTTCTTCAGATTTCCTCCGTCCTTTTGCTCTCCAATGGACATGCTGAAGGTCTGCTTTACAGAATTCTTCACAATTTGACTTCATATGTTTAGTTCCCGTTCTCAGGTTATAATTGTAAGGAAAACGTTCCCGAAAAAATTCAAGTATTTCTGGCAAATGCCATAAATTCGAAGCGTAAGGAATACAACAGCGCAGTAAAGTTACTATTGGGACACGTCGTAAGTCGTTTTTGTGGCTTCAGCAGAGCTCCACTGTTCTAGTTCGTAAGCAATAACCTAGAGAAAAGAATTAAGAAAATTTTCATATATTTAGCACATTTTTAGGAATCTGAGTAAATTTCTACCATTAGTAGTCACATGTGCAGTGGTGCACAAAACTACTCAAGCACACATTTTTTAGGCCGCACCTTTTTTTCTGCTTAATTAAATTAGTCCAGATTGCAATATGTTCTGAATGCAAGCCTTATCCACCGGGTAAGCGTTCTCATGTTGGATAGCAGAGAGTGGGACCGACGAAAAAATTATCTCGTTGGGAATTGCGGGAACACCTTGGGAGTAAAAACATATCAGCTAACCGGCTGATATCGGCTAACCGGCTCAACACGTTAGACGTGGACGCCTGGGGCGAAGTTTTGTTCACAACCCAGCATCCTTGTGAAGAATTTCAAACTATTTAGGAAGGCTTCAGTCCAGCGCAACGGTCATCTGCATAATAAGTAACATCACGCAGATTTAAGAGGTTGTTGGTACCCTTCTAAAATTGTTAAATCGTAGTAACAAGCCGGTGTAACACCCTATTTGGGCAACGGATACCTCCGCAATGTTTCGTACTGATACCTTGAATCACAAATTTTCCCGACAATACGCCCCAAATGCCTAAGTCGGTCGACGAACGAAAGAAATTCACTCTCGTCGCTCTAGATGGCGTAGGAGCCTTGCAGGAATCTCTAACTTAGAAGAAAACAGGGTTACAAGTGAGTTTGGGGAGGGACCACGCGGGGTCGCGGTGTTCAAAGCGGAGGCAAAACCTGAGCCTAGGAGGCTCAAATGTGGCAGAAGACACTCACAAATCATAACATTCACAGCTTACCTACTCCTTCATAGGCTGAAGCTTAGTTATTCCCATCGCGCTCAAAAACGGCGCGCCGCGTGGTCTCTTCAACGCACTTAGCACCAAAAACAGCCAGAAACATAGAAGAGAGACAAACAAAAGGAGAAGACTTTGAAGAAAAGGGAAGGAAGTCTTCTCATACGCAGAGTATTCATCAACAGATTTCATACTTAAGCCCTCGGAAGATTACCAGCAAATTACTAGTTTTGATTAATTTTGCAAGAATACTAGGCTAAAAGCACAACTCTTAAGGTTGAACCCGCAGTGCTCGCTTACCGGGCAATGCACTTCATGTTGTATTTTAGCCGCAGTTCGTCTTGCAAGGCTTTTACAAGGCGAGAAACAGCAATCAACAAGTACTGCTCGGTGTATTGCATGTTGACTTTGTGGTCGTTGTAAGCATTTTACAATAAATTGAAATTCACCACGAATTTGGTCGTGCTCAGGAAGCTTCAGTGGAGCATTTTATTTGTCCTCTGCATATCTTTTCCCTCCATTCAACGCAGTTATGCTGATTCAGCGAAAAAGGCTTTTTTGGGACATATTGTAAAATTCAAATGCATTCATCTAGCAGAAAAAAGTTATGGTCCAAAGCATTTTGTATAAACATACATACTTTTGAGCGCCACTTTATGTGCTCGCTACCCTGACTTCACTTGATGTATATTACAAAACAAATATAGAGTGGGCATCGGAGCACCGTTAGTCTACCCTAGGAGCTAAATTAAACTTCTAACCTTTTCCGAAGCCTCAGTGGCATGAGCTGCGCCCGTGGTTGTGGCAGAGCCCCATGTGAAACGTAATCAGCAAACGAGAAACAACAAAAATCCATCACATCAAATGTGTAGAGAATTTTTTCCTTTTTTCAGGAGTTTGACTGCTCTCTTGCAGGAGAAGCCTTCACACATGAATACCAAAGCAAAGTACATGACGGCTTCCATTCGATAGTCGAAAGGTATCTTTTTAATATTCCTACCTACGAAATTCTAAATTACGAAAGGCTGGGAAATCTGTTTATCTTTGCCCTCGCTATAGTTTGGGATTCCAGAAATCTCGAAGAAGCTATCACAGAAACTTTGGAGAAAGCAATTGGGAAGGCCGATAAAGAAGAGGTGGGATAGACATTCGAGGAGTAGCGCTAAGCAACATAACAGTTTTTCAAGAGATCCTTTTTTATCTCATCAGATTTGGTTTGGCACGTACAAGGCTACTAAGGTTGGATGCGGTATTAAGCTTATAACTGAGAAAGAAAATGGTAAACACTGGCTAGTTCTCCGATGCAAATTCAGTACAGTGTAAGCGTTCAAGATATTCTTTCTTAACTATGTGCAAATGTGTGTATGCCTCTATTTCAGAAAGAGGAAATCCACGCAAATAACCTGGTGTGCTTTGAATATTTCGAAAAGAGCGACAGCGAATAGCGTTACATTTGACGGAGTTCAAAGTAGTTATATAATCCGAATGAAGATGTATTTACTCCCAAGGTGTTCGTGTGAAAAATGTCATTGCTACCTCCATCACCCTCCACGACATCCGAGACGGGAGACCAGGCCTGAGAATGGGAGATATCAATGATTTATTTGACCGCATGAAGCAGCGCGAAGGAAATGGCAAGGACGTTGTTAGCATTTATATTTGCACCTTCAACAGCGGTATTTCAAAAGTTGGCGGCGAGGAGAAATGACCTAATTAGATGAGCAATCTCGAATTTGCTGAGCTATATCAAAATCGGCGACAGAAATTTTAAGGAGTCTACAGGAGTATACGGGATTTCTATAAAATAAGTGCCTAAGAAAGAATATTAGTTCGATTAAGCGACGGCCACGTGATCACTACAAAGTATGTTAAAGACAACAGACTTTCGCTAAAATAAATGAGTGCCGTCTTCTCACGACAGTTGAGCATAATCTGACCATTGTGAAAGTAAATAGTGATTCATTAGAAAATATTAGGTCGGTCCATAAGTCTTGCAACAAACTACATTTAATGCTATAGAATTTTAGGGAGAACTCCTGAAAATCCGCAACATATTTCCTGACGTAGCATCAACCTTTGCAATTTCAGCCAACGGTCCAGCTCGTTGTCTGCTTACTTATTATGGATATTACACCGATTTCGCGAGAGGGCTCTCGTGCCCTTAATTTTTACGAGTACTGCTTGGAATGTTCCGCAAGTCATGCTAGACCAAGGATTGGCCAGAAGATAGGCGAGGGCACGCTCTCTCAAACCACAGTGCAACGGCGCTTCACTCTGCTCAGCGTTGACTTTTTTATTTGAAAATAACCCACACTCCAACCACCCTGTGACTGACAATCACGATGCTCTATCTGACGCTGTTGAAAAGGGATCTGGATAGAGTATCGATCATTTTTCAGAAACAATACAAAAGAAGCGAATTGTATGAGAAGAGGCTCTGCTTTCTGTTAACCACCACTGAATCACCCTGTTCCTCGTGCTTTTTTCAAATTGCAAAAGTTAGGAATGCCTGCTGGTAGAGCTTAAGCTTACCAGAGGAAGGGACCTCTCGACATATTCTACCAATGGTTCGCACAACGCAACCAAGGTTATAAATAATAAAAGGTAAATGGGGATGAGGAGCTTGAGGATTCAGAAAAAATGTAGTTACAGTCCGTTACGGTGAAATTCTCTCAATTTTTTTTACGAAACCCTCATATTGAAATAGCATGTCCTTGGATATTGTTTTAACAGGCTAATGTGGCCTTCCCATTAAGGTTGGATGCTTTATAAATGAGCCCTTCGTCACTTGTAAGTCGAATTCAGCTTTCGATTGATTTGGCACCGTCACTCACTAAAAATGCATTCGTACATCCTTTTTCTGGTATGTTTCACTATAGTTTAAAGTAAAACGCTAATCACCTTACGAGCGCGATTTGTCACTAACACTGTTGAGTTCATATGCTTTTAAACTCATGATGATAAGAAAAAAAGGTCGCTGAATGGTAATTTGGGAAGTCGTAAGTAAGAATGAGCATGCTAACCGAATTACTCGCTAAGAACTCACCTGACTGTGTTCTTCAGATTTCCTCCGTCCTTTTGCTCTCCAATGGACATGCTGAAGGTCTGCTTTACAGAATTCTTCACAATTTGAATTCATATGTTTAGTTACCGTTCTCAGGTTATAATTGTAAGGAAAGAACGTTCCCGAGAAAATTCAAGAATTTTTGGTAAAAGCCATAAATTCAAAGCGTGAGGAATACAACAGCGGGACAGTCAAGTTACTACTGAAAGAAGTCGTAAGTCGTTTTTGTGGCTTCAGCAGAGCTCCACTGTTCTAGTTCGTAAGCAATAACCTAGAGAAAAGAAAAGAAAATTTTCATATATATAGCACATTTTTAGGAATCTGAGTAAATTTCTACCATTAGTAGTCACATGTGCAGTGGTGCACAAAACTACTCAAGCACACATTTTTTAGGCCGCACCTTTTTTTCTGCTTAATTAAATTAGTCCAGATTGCAATATGTTCTGAATAGCAAGCCTTATCCACGGGTAAGCGTTCTCATGTGGAGGCAGTAGAGGGGACGACGATTACCTCGTACGGAACTTGCGGGGAACACTTGGATTAAAAACAATATCAGCTAACCGGCTGATATCGGCTAACCGGCTCAACACGTTAGACGTGGACGCCTGGGGCGAAGTTTTGTTCACATCCTTGTGAAGAATTTCAAACTATTTAGGAAGGCTTCAGTCCAGCGCAACGGTCATCTGCATAATAAGTAACATCACGCAGATTTAAGAGGTTGTTGGTACCCTTCTAAAATTGTTAAATCGTAGTAACAAGCCGGTGTAACACCCTATTTGGGCAACGGATACCTCCGCAATGTTTCGTACTGATACCTTGAATCACAAATTTTCCCGAGACAATCGCCCATAATGCACTAAGTCGCGTCGACGAACGAAAAATTTCACTCTCGTCGCTTGTGGAGCATGGCGTAGGAGCCTTGCAGGAATCTCTAACTTAGAAGAAAACAGGGTTACAAGTGAGTTTGGGGAGGGACCACGCGGGGTCGCGGTGTTCAAAGCGGAGGCAAAACCTGAGCCTAGGAGGCTCAAATGTGGCATAAGACAACTCAAAATCAGGTAACATTACACAGCTTACCTACTCCTTAAGGCTGAAGCTTAACTATTCCCATCGCGTTCAAAAACGGCGCGCCGCGTGGTCTCTTCAACGCACTTAGCACCAAAAACAGCCAGAAACATAGAAGAGAGACAAACAAAAGGAGAAGACTTTGAAGAAAGGGAAGGAAGTCTTTTCATACGCAGAGTATTCATCAACAGAGTCGTACTTAAGCCCTCGGAAGATTACCAGCAAATTACTAGTTTTGATTAATTTTGCAAGAATGCTAGGCTAAAAGCACAACTCTTAAGGTTGAACCCCAGCTCGCTTACCGGTGCAATGCACTTCATGTTGTATTTTAGCCGCAGTTCGTCTTGCAAGGCTTTTACAAGGCGAGAAACAGCAATCAACAAGTACTGCTCGGTGTATTGCATGTTGACTTTGTGGTCGTTGTAAGCATTTTACAATAAATTGAAATTCACCACGAATTTGGTCGTGCTCAGGAAGCTTCAGTGGAGCATTTTATTCCTCTGCATATCTTTTCCCTCCATTCAACGCAGTTATGCTGATTCAGCGAAAAAGGCTTTTTTGGGACATATTGTAAAATTCAAATGCATTCATCTAGCAGAAAAAAGTTATGGTCCAAAGCATTTTGCATAAACATACATACTTTTGAGCGCCACTATTATGTGCTCGCTACCCAGACCTTTTCTGGTATTCAGAGAGCCGTTCAGGAAAAATGAACCATGCTTCTGTGGTCCCCATATGTGCCCCAATGTCATGCAAGAAACCATTTTGAAAAGCTTGGCACACCCTGAACGATTTCCCTGGTTAGTACATTAAAAACGGGCACCTTTTTAGCCCGTTCGTTCCATGTTGGGTGGATCTTGTCGGTTCCGACCTCACCAACGCTAACGCTTCTTTGCTAGAGCAGCTAGAGCCAGACCGCCAGGCGATGGACAGGCAGCGACGCGAGCGGCGCAGGTGTAGCCCCTAGGGCGCTGGAGGAATAACGCTTGCTACAGAACTCACGAGTTCCGCACCCTTAGGAGGCCTGCTTGCTTTTGCTCTGGGTATATGTATTTTACCTTCGTCGACCTCCGACCTCATGATGGAATCCTCGTTCAACATATGCCACTGAGACTTGAACTCCGCTGTAACGCAAGACGAGCGTGCGAGTTGGGAGTACGCTCGCGATTCTCCTGTACAGCAACTCCAGAAGAGGATTAGGGTCTCCGAATCACGCTAGTGATCGAATACCAGGGATGCTGCCGTTTTCGTCAAGGAATCGAAGATTCTTTGGCGAAAATGGCAACATCAGGGTAGATCAGGGCGAAATGTGCATACAAAATTCCTGGAGCCTTAGATTATTATGATTCATATGGCACTTACCGGCGAAGCGATTTGCACTACCATGATCATCAATCCATGGCTTCAATTCAGTGCCTCGCTCGATGCATTGCCACCCTCAGTTCGACTTCCTCAGAAACGAAGTTGTGTAACAGAACAGAATAAAACTGTCGGAGAGCTCGTCACGTACTGTTCATAGCTCATGTTTGGCTGCCCTTCAGAGCCTCTCCGCGCCGCAGACGTGGCTATCTATTTAGGAACCTCGAAAACAACGGCTGAGCAACTTCAGAGGCATGACGATGAACATGACAAATATGGCAAAACGGTGTAATGCCCTCTAGGGGAAGAATATGTACTAAGGAATCCCATGTTTGCTCGTCCTTTCGGAATTCCCGCGAGTTTTGTCATCGAGTTTGTCAAT